ACTTTCTTTTCGGGCAATTGCGGTTAGAGTGCAAAGAAGCGTAGACACTGTGGTTAGGTGTTGTCAGGCATGGCTTCGAGAAGGCCGTACGCAAAGAGCAAGGGGCACTGGACGCCGCCGTAGAACAACAGACCGTGAAGATCGCCGCCTAAGATTATTGGCCTTAAGGGACCGTTTCTCCACTACCATTGCAAATGAATGGTTTGCAGAACACGGAAGACCTATTGGCATGCGAAGTGTTTACCGACGAATGAGAAGTTTTGGCTTGTTTTCATACCGGTCACACTGGGTCCTCCCTTTAACTCGAGAACACCAACGTAATCGCCTTGAGTGGTGCAGACAACGGTCACTCTGAGATCAGGAATGGAACAGTATTGTCTTTAGTGACGAGTCTCGATTTTGTTTAGGCATGCACGATGGTCGTGCCAGGGTTAGAAGGCGACGTGGTGAAAGGAGGAATCCACAGTTTTTTGTTGAAAGACATGTTCATCACACTGTTGGAGTTATGGTTTGGGGTGCTATAGCTTGTGGTTCCAGATCACCTTTAATCTTCATCAGAGGTAACATGAACGCGCAGCGTTATATCCACGAAGTTCTAGAACCCCATCTTTTACCCTATCTTGACACCCTGGCATATCCAACTTTCCAACAAGATAATGTCCGACCACATGTTGCAAGAGTCACAATAGACTTCTTTCAACATAATGGTGTCACATTGTTACCATGGCCACCAAGATCTCCCGACTTATCCCCAATTGAGCACGTGTGGGATATGATGGGTAGGAGATTGCTCAATTTGCAACGTCCTCCTCAGACTCTAGAAGCACTTCGAGAGGAGTTGGTGGTTGCCTGGAATGAGATACCACAGGAGGACATTGACCACCTGATCAGAATCATGAATAGGCGCGTTGGAGAATGCGTAGCACATCAGGGTGCATCCACACATTATTAAAGGTCAAAGGGCTTTAAAGCGGTGCAATCATTTTGAAATTTTTATCATTTACTTATTATGCTTCATTAAGTACTTATACAAAATTTTATTAAAATAAAACCATTTAAACTGGGTGTTCGGATTTAAATGTCACTTAGTATACGTACGATAGAGGTTGAAAACGGGGCAGTCAGGAATTTCTCAGTCCGAAAATGTCCCAATTACACAGTTTTGGAGTTTTTCACTGAATAATTGGATCTACATAATAAACCACATTAAATACATTCAAAATTAGTTTGGATTTCCAAATTCGTACGATAGAGGTCATTTGAACCACATTTTAATTTTCAGTGACGTTAGAAAACGGTCACAAACGGGTCAGACGGCACCATTAGCCCAACCATCCTTATAATACAGTTTTTGGGTCGCTGAGTCTGAATCCAGGGCCCATTTATTCCGGAAATGTCCTATTTCCGAGATGTCTGCAAAAATTCTATTTATTACAAAATGGTCAATAAAAACATTTTCAATAACCGTTGCCCGTCTGTGATGCAGAAATAATTTCTTTTTCCGACTAGGATTAGCGAATGGCCAAGGGCAGCTAGTTTTTCACCAATAGAAATAGCACCCCATTCCATAACTCCCACGGTGTCGTGAACGTGACGCTCTCCGTCAAATTGTGGGTCATGTCTTCCACCACATCGCGTTGTCATTTTATTCACTTAATTTGCACGAAGTGTCATACAAACTGAACGTAGATATAATTAACATTGAAAATTACTGTAAGAGACATGCTACATGCTACATAAATGTTGTGCTATGCTGTTTGGCCCAAAGCAGTTATTACAACGTTCATAGGCGACAATTGTCTTTAGTCTTAATAATACATATATACCCATTGTGGACCACGCAAAGAATTTAGGAGTCGTTATCGATTCAGAGTTGAGGTTTAAGCAACATGTTACAAATGTATCTAGCTTAACATACGTTTAAAGATTCGATATCCTAACCGACATATTCTGAACTTCAAGACTCGCAAAAAACTAACTGAAACTTTGATAATGTCGCTAATAGATTGTTCAATTGTAGTTTACTTTCCGTGTCTGGATTACGTGACCAGATATAGACTACAAAAAATTCAAAATAACTGTAGCCATCTATCTCAAAAAATCCGTGTGTTGAAGGTAGACCAGCTTTATACATATCCTCTGCTCATCTTAGTCCAAAGAATCAGATACAATAGAGTACCTACTTATCATCTAAAAAAGCTTGTACTACGTGGTGATCTTAATACCACAAATGTCAGGCATAACACCGACTTCAACATACCTAGTTATAAAACTAACATTTTCCATCGTAGCTTTACTTACAATACAGTAAAAGCGTATAATGCTCTTAATGATACACACAAGGACAAAGGTCTGGTTACATCCAAGAAAGCCATCAACAACCATTTTTTTGGATCTGCTAGCCAAGCTAGTCAAGAAAGTTTGTATTTTATTACAATTCTGGATATCAGATTACAGTTGGGTGGTATATTAGCATATTGCCTTGTTCATTTATTTTTTATTAATAGAAACGACTGTATTTTTGTTTCTCTGTTAGTATCATATTATACATAGGCCCAATTTCACCAACATTAATATTTGACGGTCCCTTGGACCAATGGGAAAATAGCTTATCGAAATGCAATTTGACAGAAGCTGTCAAAGGTCTCTGAATATCAGTGATTTCTATTGAAATGTTGAATAAATTCGTGAAAAAATGGTTGCCTTATAAGTAAGGGTACATTATAGATGTAATATTATGTCTTTGTTCTTTAGAATTATCGATAACCAGCAGAAGGAAACAAAGAAGAAAAGTAATCTGAAGTTAGTTACTCTTTCTGACCAAGTCCGGATCGAAAGATGACGATACTCGTGAAATGTATTGATACTCCTTCCATCGAACATCCCTACTGTCAAGATGCATACCTAGAGGTACCGACGGAGCTATTCTGCGGCGTCATGGAAATAATTTTAAATTTTCGTTTGCACTTTTTCAAGTGTTGTGCAACGATTTTGGAAAAATAGTCTTATAAAGCATAGTAGAGTACATTTTAACAGTTGGCGGCCACTGGGACCAGGAGGGTGAAACGGGATATTAATGCACAATCTGGCAACCACGTCGCACCCTCAAAAAATGGCCGCTGACAACCACACAAGTCACCGAGTTGTCATTGAATAGCATGGAATTAAACCTTCTTCAGCGTATATGTTTTGTGACTGGGAGCAAGGGTTGACAGATCCCAGACATGTGTCACTCGGGGAGTTTTGAAATGCAATAGTCCGTTGAATGTGTACTCGTAAAAAAAGAAAAATACGGCAAATTTGTAGTTTTTTTGCAGGTTTTAGGTTTGATGGTAGCTTTAAGACATATATTTGGGTATTTCTTAATCGATGTGAATATAGTGTGGATGTCTGTTCAGTTCCTGAACAACGAAAAATATTCAACTTTATGGATGTATGGATATCAAAAAGCCTGAATGGTTTTGTGGGAATGTCAATCTAAGGTGCCTCAATGTTTCTAATGAACGGCAAGAAAATGAATGAATGTTTGGAAACGAGCAATGTCTATGAACTTTTTGGTAGAATCTGTCATTAAGTAGGTGCTTAATGGCTATCTGCAAGAGGTTTATAGGAAAAGAACACACGGTAGGTGATATTGGATCACTAAAATAGCATATCAATTGATGAAAATAATATAAACATGAATAACAAATCAACAATAGGGATTAAAACATGAATTTTATTCAAATATCAAACATTTCTTTAATTTTGACAGAATTATATGTAAGCAGCCACCACAAAAACTTAGCAGAAAAACCTGACCATTTTATCACTTATTGTTTATGGCAAGATAAATCGATATGTAAAAAATTCTTGAATTCTAATAAACATACGTAGGTTTCTTGTCACTCAGTGTACTTGGCAATAGTGGGGTTTGAGAATCTTTCCTCTAGCCGTCTATTCCTCCGCACGCTGCAATTATCGAAGCATCATTATGCCCTCATCTAGAATTAATGTATGTCTACGGTGACGCAAGCTTTGTAAAAAGAAACCCTCATCAGTACCCCTCTGGTTTCGCCCGGAAGGTAAACATAACCCCATATATCACTGCCCGGAGCTTTTTCCGCAGCGAGATCATTTATCTTGATGTGTGATATGAATATGCCAATAAGAGAGTGGAAATGAATGAATATGCATGGAGTTTCCTCCACCAGGGTACAAAAAAAACAAACTTTTAAGTGGTGAAACTACTGGCGCAATCTCCGGAGACAAGAATAATTGATCTTTTTCACCCATCTTCCGCGCGGCGAAGTCTCCCAAGGGTTTTACGATCTTTTCTTTGAAAATAATTTACATATTCGTATTACCAGGATGAAAATAGAGTAGGAAGACAAGGGCGTACCTGAACAAAAAACTGTTCTTCACTCTGACAATACTCAGATGTAGAAAATAGTGTTTTTTATGGTTTTCAGTCTTAGGTTCAGTTGTATCAGTCTTTAGATAGTGCGTATACTTTTGTCTGATTATTTTGTGCGCACAATCTGCCACAATTATTAGAAGGTGTTCCTCTAAATGTGAGACAGAATTATGTGGTTCCTACATAACCGGACTCCACCACATTTTAGACGAGAAGTTCATGAACATCTAAATAATGTTTCCGAATAGATGGATAGGGCGCAATGAACCCATTTCTTGGCCTGCTCGCTCCTCGGATTTACTTATTTACGGTCTGTTAGGTAAAACTCAATCCAGTTGCAATCACTACCCATTATCTCGTATGCCTCGAGAAATTGCGTCAATTCTTTGTCCCATAATCACGATAAACTTTCCTGCGCAAGTTATCCAATAGCCCTATATTCCAGGAGAACTCCACTTCCTTTAAGCTTTTCCTTTTCGAATTTGGAAAGTGTCAAACATCAGTTGCTACTTGTAAAAATTTAAGAATAATAACCGCAGCACTCACTGTTTTTTTTATACTCCAACTCCCACGAAGGCCTAAGTCCTAAGCACCCATTGGGTACCATGGGGCTATAGGGGGATACATGGGAAAAGGGGAACGCCACGCGGACGGCGAGGGAACACGTGTGCATTCTGGCCCCGCCCACGAGATCCGCCGGGTGGTACCTCCGCGTTCGACAGTCAGAGATCGTCTACCACCTACGGACAATCACAACATCCATGGCCAAGAGAAACATTTCTCCTGGGACGGGACTCGAACCCGCACAGCGCACGGCGACTGATCAGGAGACCGAAGAGTCTACTACTGCTGCCACCGCTGCTGCCTAAGAACTGCTGCGAAGAACTTTTTCCGCAGTCAAAACAAACAATGAAGTAACGTGAGCTACTGCTTACACTTGTCAATAATGAATGAAATTAAGGGTCCGCTTTAGATTAGGGGTGCGGTTTCCTATACTATTCGTCAAATAAAAAAAAACGAACCCGATTTGCAACATTTGGTAAAATAGATTGCCATTATGCAAAAATTATACTAAAAGCGTTTGCAGTAATAAACAAAATCAATTCACTATTTATAAATGCAGTATAACTGCAGTTGTGAATATTCGGGGACATTTGAAACATCGCCGTCGAACGAATTTATGTTTAGTAATAACTACATTATAGCACGTACATTTTACAATAAATTTAATTCACGATAACATTGATCCTCTGCATAAAACTATTTCATACAAATATTTACACTTAAAACTACATACTTCCGACCAAGGAGGGACCGACAACACATTTTTTTATGAGCATAATTATCTGAAATAAACTTCATATTTAATATCCCAATATAGATAAGACGTTTAATAAGAAATGCATTATTATTTAAAATACACATTTTATGGAATTATTTTATGAATGGATTTGATGGCAATCTTATTTTCATACATCTGACGATAATTCGGAGATGTGACAGATATAAGATACAAAATACGTATTTTCATCTTGTAAAATACTTTTTTTTTGTAGATTTTATTTAGATACCTTTTGTTTGATATACCTATTAGTATTTGGTAAATACTGTGAGCTAAAATACTTTCAGTAATAGTATTTCTTCGCATAATGCGCCCATGCATCTTAAGTCTAGGGTCAAGAATATGTAAAAGCTTTTCCTAAGTGAAAGACGCAAAATTAGTCGATCGTAAGCTTTATGCAATATTGGAAGAAGTCAAGAGTCGAATCTTATTCTCTTGGAGGACCTTTACAAGGTCATTCAACATTATGAACATAGGCATTGTAATTTATTGACTATTCATTAGAGTTTCAGAGCCAATACATTAATTGGTTTCCATAATAATAATAATAATTTATTGATGTTGATACACAGAAAGTCATCATCATCAGACATGGATAAAACCAGTTAAAAACAACGCAAATGCTGCGTAATGCTGAATTATTAAAAGCAAATTGAAAAAACAATACAAAAATGTTGTCATGAGATAAAATAGCATCGCTTAGAACAATATTTGTATAAAACAAACAAGTTGGATAGAAAAACAAATGAATAAACGTTTAAGGTATATCAGTAAAGTCATTTGTTAAAGAATGCGTTTTTTTTATTAGATAATACTTGAGTTTCCTATGAGAAACATCAATATAAAATGATTTTATATTGTTGGGCAGCAGATTAAAACATTTAATGCCATAAAAGTTTGTTCCAACTCTTTATTTTTCTAGACAAATGTTGATCCTATTTCGTGTTTCATAATTGTGGTTATCTCTATGAGTGGGGAAGGTACTAATGTTACTTTTGATATATAGGAGACAACTCAAAATATACGCGCATGGAAGGGTTATTATCGTCAATTTAATGAAGTCAGCCTTGCAGGGGTCTCTGTATTTCAAACCGGAGATGTATCGGATACAACGCCTTTGGGTGCCAAACATTTTTTGCATATGTGGAGAGTGTCCCCAGACCAAAATTGCATATGTCATTTTAGATTTGAAATATGCATGATAAGCAGTTAATAAGACTGTATCAGATACTCTATCCTTTAGACTACGTATGAGATATATAACTCTGGACAAACGATCCACCACACAGCGAGTATGCACCTCCCATGTCAGAGTACAGTCAATATGTACTCCTAGCAATTTCACTGATTGAGCATGACTGCGCAAGCTTATGAGCTGGTTTCGACAACAATATTTACATATTTATTATAATTTACCAAAGTAGTGTCATCAGCATATGAAAACAAAGCAGCATTGTGCGTATATGGCAGGCTATTAGGGATATCGATAATGTATAATAAAGACAGCAGTGGTCCCAGTACGGAACCCTGTAGAACTCCATGGATCACTGATCTGGTATCAGAGTTCCAGCCATTGAAACGTACTAGTTGTTCTCTGTATAAGTAAGAGCCGAAAATCTTGATGCCAGAAGGATGAATGTGATAAACTAATTTTTTATTGAAATACTATGTTGCAGACAATCAAAAGCCTTAGATAAATCGAAAAGGTCCGAATTGATATGTAGATGGTTCTCAAATTCTTAGTTAACAAGATCTATAAGACAACTGATTGTTGTAGTAGTAGATCTGTTCCGTCTAAATACAAACTGCTTGTCATTAAATAATTGATTTGACTCAAGATGAGAGGTAAGTTGATCCTTTAGCAGAATTTTAAAAATCTTAGGAAAGTATTAAATTAGAGAAATTGGTCGATAGTTGGAGAGCACATCGCGCAATCCGATCCAGAAATGGGCCAGATTGTATACATTTTTCTTGCTTTCAAATGACGCCATTTGGCCCAACAAAATTCATTCGACATAATTGTATGCCTACTTCCAAGGTAAGGTGATGGGGGAATGGCAGTGCTGCCAACGTATTTTGCTAACCAGATGGCGATACAAACACTTCGCTATACCTGCTAAAATTTATTTTAAAGACGAGAAGACACTACGATTTTTATATTTATTAATTTTAATTTTTTTGGTATAGAAATTTTCAATTTTTCTATTCATTCAATTGGGGTGATCAAGAAATTGAACTATCTTTTTTTATAAAATAACAAATTACTGGAATATTTTGATCTATTATTTATAATTGTAAGATGTAATTATCAGAATTCTTACGGAAGATAAAGATGTTGGATTAAAATGAACTTTTGGTGGAGAAGCTAGAAATATTAGGTCTGTTCGACCTTTAAAATTATACATTATCTGAGTTTAAGCTGGTGTGAGCCAGTATACGTAATAAATTCCGAAATATACTAGCCATTTCTGGACGAACAAGGATATTCCTGTATGTGAAAATAATTCCTTAAAGTCGGATTTTCAGATATCGTCTGTTCTGGATGTGAAGCTCGTCTGCAAGCCTCAAGAATTTATAAATGCAACTCCACTCGAAATAACGAGGATATCCCCCGAAGATCGTACAGATTTCGTTGGAACTAGTCGAGTGTTAAGGCGTCTTTGGGGGAAATAAGGGTAAGGGAGATTTCCTCCTCTTTTCTCATAGTGTCCGTCCTACGAGGGATCCTAGAAAAGAGAGCTACATAAGATTAGAGCATCACAGTGCCATAAAATTGCGCGGGTTGAAAATATCAGAAAGTCATTCGAAAACTTTGACCAACGATTCTGAATTTTCGGCACAAACTGTGAGAGGCAACGAGACCTGGATGCATCGCTGGGATCCTGAGACAAAAACAGAAACCAAGCAGTGGGTTCATAAAGGTTTTCCACCCCCCCCCCCCCAAAAGAGGCACGGACGGCAACCCTCTACTGGAAAATCGTTAACAAATTTTCTTGTTGTCCATGAATATATGCCAAAATGAACAACAGTAAATGTGGAAATATATGCAATTAAGCAGAAAATACCCGATTTTCAGTGTTTCTGCTGCCAGAATGCAGCTTCGTTGAGATAGACCATCCTCCCTCTAGCCTGAATTTGGCTCCGCCTGACTTTTATCTCTTTAGATTAGTGAAGAAAAATCTTTGAGGATGTCTTTTTGACTCAGATGGCACAAAAACAGCCATCGACGACTATATTAAAAAATACGGACTAAAAAGACTATATTAAAAAAATATCAAAAAGTCACGCCTGTTTTATGGTAGGTACACTTCTTTTCTAGAGTCCCTCGTATGTACTTATTCCTCCAAAAGGTACAGGTATGAGAGCAGCGCTCGAGTACGTTTGACTAAGCTGATAACATTTTGTAAAACAATGCTGGTTAGATGTTCTACTCGTTACTGAACGAAAATACCCTAAGGGCCTTCGCATACGCATCGTAAGCGTAGTCGTTTCGTAAGCGAATCGTTACGACGCTACGGTTACGAGACCTACAGTGTTCCATACACGCATCGTCACGTACTCGTGTCGTTTCGTAAGATCTCAGTTTAAATCATGGCATCAACGGTACCAGATGTTTCTGGTGTATCCATTGATGATCTTACATTTTCTTCAGACGGAGAGGATTTTTTATTCTTTGATTATGGTAGAAGTAGAAAGCGACGTGCTCATTAGATCCATCCATACATCGCAAGTAACAAGAAGAAAAGATTGTTTGTTGCTGCACGTGGACTTTCAGAAGATGATAATAAATTCTGAAGCTTTTGTCGAACAAAACGTTTGAATTTCACGCTTGCTTCTACGCCTGCCTTACGCCAAACCGCTACGACTATCGTAATACGACTGAACATCTCAGACGTATCGGTGCAACGCCGCTTCGTGTGCGGACTAAGCGTAGATACGAGCTCCTTTTGCTCTCGTCCTACGCGCGTATTACGATACGATTACGTAGTGTGCGAAGGCTCTAAGTCAAACCACTGCCTATAGAAAACAATTATCTCACTTAGATTGCCCGCTGACCAGCCCCAAAGCAAAATTGCTAAATTTTTACACACTCCATAGTAATGGATCAATGATGACATTTCTGATTAGGCCTGATCTTTAAGCTGGAAAAACTGCTCTTGTTTGATATCGATGAAATGTTTGGCTTACCATACATGGTCCGCGATCTCAGGTACTGACTTACCTATAACAAAGAAAAGCATCATTAGAACGTTACGCTACATAAAAAATACGGTGATTCTAAGACAGCGTACAATGTTTTCATCTGGATATTCGTGGTGTAGGGGTTACGGAATTTATAAGTGAAAATATCCATGTATCCAACAATAGCAGAGTACGAGGAGGGAATACCATGACTAAATCTCGTAGAGGAATGCTCTGACAATCCTTGTCTTTTGCGCAATTTCTAACAGGGGTGTATTCCAACCATTTGTGAGAAGAGGGAGGGGTGAAGCTTTGAATAGTCAGAGCTATATTGATAACTGCCTTTCCAAATTGCTTCAGTTTGTCCACGGACATCATGCTAATGGCCAGACCTAGCATCAGGCCATTACTCAAGAGATGCCTAACACTACATACCTTTTTTTCCCAAAGCGATTCTTCAAACTTGCCGCAGGCTGGCCCAATAGAGGATTTTTGGGCTTTACTATCGAGGA